TCCATGGCTTTATTATTCCTTGACTAGTTATTTCTCATAGCTCTGCAGGGATTTGGTGTATTTTTGTTCTCCTTTCCATAATAGAGCATTAGAAAAGCACTGAACTGGCCCCATCAAAATACCTAGTCTTAGCTAGAAAAAAAAAATTGGACTTAATTCAGATGTGTGCAAGTACAGCATTGCTTTTTTTTTCTCTTCTGTCCAGCATAATGTTTTGTCAGGCTGCTCTAGTTAGAAAGTAAAGCTCAGAACAGGCAAAATATTGAATGCTGCGTCAGATGTGGCCACAGTGCTTGCATATTAACTGGGAGCACGTGAGTGCTGCTGCTGCTGCTGGTTGTGTATGGATCTCGGGTCTGGGCAGACCAGAGACGAAGTCTGAGATGTCAGTGGGAGGTCACATTACTCTGGGAGGAGACTCTTGCTTTGATCTCTTGCCTTGCTTGGCTCAGGACTATAAAGCTAGTTTATTTAGCTCTTGGTTGATCTTAAGGTAAGTGTCAAGAGTCTATGGAGGTAAAATTCCAGAAGGAGGGTGGGAAGAGAGACATTTCTGCACCTTGTACGTGTTGACTGATTTTGACTTGAAGCAAATGCTGTGTGTCAAAAGGAAGCTGAGAACTCTCCCTGTGCAGGAACAGTCTCGAGGATTCACGAGGTGCTCAAATTCCAACCACTTCAGCTTATTGTCCAGTTCTGTTAGCGGGGAAAGAAGGGTCCTAAAATGCAAACTGCGTAGTCTCCGTTCTTGTGGTAATGTCCAGATTGTATCCTTCTCTTTTCCAAACGTACCATGTGTGTAAAAGGCAATGGTTTGTGTGGTCATTGTGCTGTATGCATTGTTCTTCGCTGACCTTCGTTACTGTGACTGTCATAGGAGTTCAGTTGGTTAATATCCCTAAAGTCTGTTAATAACAGTGTTTAGCATTGGCAAAGAATTTACATTTTTGAGTGTTGTGTGGACATGAAATCATTACAGTAGACTTGCAGGGTGGCATGAAATAGTTTTCTTTGAGCCCTGTTTCCTGTCTCAGGCATGGGTGGCAACGTATGGAGCTCGGAGTGGACTGGAAAAGCACCCTGAAGTCTGAGATTTCTCCCTTGAAGTTTACTTGAACAGTCATTTTCCTTTAGCGAGGAGGGTGGGACCAGTACCATCTAATATCTTCATCAGGGATGTAGACAGTGGGATCGAGTGCACCCTCAGCAAATTTGCAAATGACACCAAGCTGAGCGGTGCAGTTGACATGCCTGAGGGTCGGGATGCCATCCAGAGGGACCTGGACAAACTTGAGAAGTGGGCCGATGTGAACCTCATGAGATTTAACAAGGCCAAGTGCAAGGTCCTGCACCTGGGTCGGAACAACCCCTGGAATCAGTAGAGGCTGGGGAATGAAGGGTTTTAGAACAGCCCCGCAGAGAGGGACTTGGAAGTACTGGTGGATGAAAATACTGGACATGAGCTGGCAATGTGTGCTTGCAGAAAGCCAGCCATATCCTGGGCTGCATCAAAAGAAGCGTGGCCAGCAGGTCGAGGGAGGTGATTCTGCGCCTCTGTTCCACTCTGAGACCTCACCTGGAGTACTGCGTCCAGCTCTGGAGCCCTCAGCACAAGAAGGATATGGACCTGCTGGAGTGGGTCCAGAGAAAGGCCACAAAAATGATCTGAAGGATGGAATGCCTCTCCTATGAGGCCAGGCTGAGAGACTTGGGGTTGTTTAGTCTGGAGAAGAGAAGGTTCCAGGGAGACCTTATAGCAGCCTTTCAATACTTAGAGGGAGCTTATAAAATAGATGGGGATAGGCATTTTAGTAGGGCCTGCAGCTGTTGCTACAAGACAGGGGGTAATGGTTTTAAACTAAAAGAAGGTAGAGTCAGACTAGATATATAAGGAAGAAATTTTTTATGATGAGGATGGTGAAACACTGGAACAGGTTGCCCAGAGAGGTTGTAGATGCCCCCATCCCTGGAAACATTCGTCAGGCTGGACAGGGCTCTGAGCAGTGTGATCTAGTTGAAGATGTCCCTGCTCATTGCAGGGGATTGACTAAATGACCTTTAAAGGTCCTTTCCAACCCAAGCCATTCCATGATTCTGTGATGTGTGGGAATGGGAATCTGCACAAGTCTGCTGGTGCTTCTGGGTTCTAGTTTAGGCTGAGCTACTGCAGTACTCTGGTCGTGTGTTTGATGGGAGCCATGGCCTGCAACGTAAGACTAGAACTGTTCTGGATTGTGTACCCTTTGGGAAAATCCCTTTGGCAGGTTGTCTGTCAATATTGAACCTGGGATCTAAAACTTTTGGAGGCTTGAACTTGCAGATCCAAAGACTGACTAAAGGTGTTGTTTGGGCTAAAGACTTTGTGTGAATTACCATGTTTTTCCCTCTTTTTACTCCCCATTGACTAAGAAGGGTACTGATAACTGAGGTCAGTATCAGATCCCCATTTGAACTGTGTTAGGACATACCATAGCTCTGCTGCTGCGTCTCTGAATGGTCTTTTATGAGTTACACCTCTACATACAAACTTGTGCTTTCTCTGTGTCCAAGATGAGCCAGGAAATTCAGGTAGCGTGCAGCTTTGGATGAGATTTAGGGGTCTGTCCCCCAAGCAAGGCACATTGGTACCACTGCAGTAGTGCCTGAGACTGCTGTCTGGCTCCACTGCTGATGAAAATCATCGTGTTGGAGATCTCCATGAAGATCTCCTGTTGCAGGGAAGGCTCATACTCTTGTGGGGCAGTAGCTGAGCTGCCCCAGTTTATAATCTGCTGTTTTGAGGCAGTGCATTGCCTTTCTTGGTTGTCCACAGTGTGCCAGCCTGTCATTTGTGACAACTCAGTAGCTGCTGTCCCAGGGGATGAGTTGTCAGTGCCGTTGGGCTGGGGCAGGGAGCTGGGTGGGTGCTCCTGGGGAGCAGTCTGGAGGTGGGGGTTCTTTGGGTGGGCAGTACAGAAATGCACTGTTGTTACCAGCTGGGATGTCCTCTTCTGGCTTCATCCTGGCACTGATAAAAAGAAATAATTGAACTATAAATTTAACATACATCTGTAGGAATAAGATCTTTGCGTGTTCCCAGCTCTTTAATTTCCAGTTCTGGGGTTGAGTCCCAGCCTGTGTAAAGCCTAGTGTAAGTTGCTCACTAGACTCAGTGTCCCCTTCTGTATAAAATTGCTCAATACAGATAGAAAAAAAGCTGTGGATGAGACACTGTTTTGTTGTCCATGGGGACACGTTCCAGTTCAGTTTTACATGTGGGTGTGAGTTTAGGTCCATCTTTTCCTTTGACAGGGAGGGGAAAGGGGCAGGGAGATGGAAGAAATGAGTGGAAAAAAGTTGCTCTCGTGTTTTATTAAGCCATATTGTCTTTAGTCTGACTCAGAGAGAAACTAATTAAAAAGTGGTTTCTTTGCAAGAATTGAAGTGATTTCAGTTCTCCTCCTAACGTACAGAGCTCCTAGCTTCAAGCTGCATCTTGCTTGACCTTTCAAGGCAAACCGCTCCTTTTCTGATTCCTCAGCCCCAGACATGGAAAGTTACACTAAAGCAGCAGCACGAAGGAGCAAGAAGAAGAGTTGGTAACGAAGTTCTCCATTAGCCTCGGCGATTCTGAGACTTCACCCGAGGCAGCTGTTTTACAAGAGCAACGGTGCTGGAGCATAGTGTTGGATGAGACATGCACAGTCACTTTGCTCTCAAATAAACTTAAAACTGCTTTTAGAGAGTGTCAGGATTTTGAATTCCTGGAGGGGCCTTTTTTCTGTCATCTTTTTTTTTGTTGTTGTTGTTTCTTTTTTTCCCTCTTATTGCAGATAAGATATTGCAGATATTGCTGCTGTGAGTGAGGAAAGTGCTGCTTTCCACTGAGCAGCTGCAACCTTTACATTCCCAGGTGCATAGATGGCTGCTTTAAAAGGAGAAAAAGAATAATCTCCTCACCTCGCCGTACTCAGCACTGGGATCCCCTGTTGACGCTGACAGCCAGGAGACCAGACAGAGCAAAATGATGCTTAGGTATTTTAGATGTTTGCACAGATGTGCACGCAGGTGTTCCCCGTGTTCAAGACCTCTTCTCCAGGGAAGCTGTGTACCGTGGCAGACAGGCTGCAGCAGCAGCAGAAACATGCTTGGAGCCTGGCAGCCCCAGAACAGGAGTATCCCTCAGTCATGGACAAGTTCAGGGCCTTGTGACCAGCACTGTGACACCGTGGACCTGATCCCACAGCAAAGGAACAAATTA